GCCCATGCTGACTGAAACATCAGTATGCAAAAGGATGAAGTTAAAAAAATAATGAACTGCAAAAAAAAACCCCGTTACCAACAAAACAACCCTAACAGATATCTGTAACTAACGAAGAATAAATGCATGATGTTTTCAGCAGTGAAATTTTTTCCTTCTAGAGTACTTCTCCCCTTGAAATTTTTACACTTCCTCAAGAAGAATGATACTGTTTTCTCATTACACCAGTATCCCCTGATTCACCCAGCCTACAGAGAGAACTTTACAAAGCACAAACACAGGAATTAAGAAGGTAGCACCATTAGAAATAATCACTCCATCCAAATCAGCAAAAAAACTTCATTTATCCTTATCCAACATACTCTGACATTCAGCAGCCTAATAATACAGGGTAAAGGGAGCTTTCATAGCTGTATATTGATAACATTCATAATGGTCATGCATATTACAATCAGAAGTTTTCTAGGGTGCCGTTTGCAAAGTAAGCCTTCATGCAGATAGGCATTCAGCTCATTAACTCCATTTTCATATTTCCTATTAGTCCCTGAGAAGTTAATATTTCTACCTACAATATGGCTATTAAAGGCATTATAACAATCACACACTTAGTTGTTTGTGATGGAAATGCAACGTGGCTTTAGGGAGAAGCAGCACAGAAATTACAGCAGATTAGCGGTGATGAATACAGATCTTATTTCTAAAATGCTTTCTTTTCACAAGCAAGGTTGCTGAAGAGCAACATAAATGATTTTAGTCACGGATACAAAACTAGCCAGCGCCACTTACCCTTAATAAGTTGCTACCATGAATCCAAGAGATTTGGGGCTCTGAGACCTCTCTAATTGAGCATTTCCTTTGCATAAAATCATCTGGATTTTGACCTAATGTAGGGTCATCATGATCCTTCTTTTAATTACTCAACAGCAGTGCTGGGAGAACTTAAAAGAACCAGGGATTTTCTTTGCTTAACAAGTTTTTTGCCTCTTCAATTAAAGTGATCTCTTTAAATTGTTCAGAATTCAAATGGGGTTTTTTGGTGGACAATTTGCATTATTGCCAGCTGCTCAAAAACCATAAGCTAGGGCTCCCAAAACAAGGGGACTGATTTAAAATTAAGACTTTGGGGTGGGGGGTGGAGGGAAGGAAATAAAGACAAGTTCTTTTTCTTTGCCTTCTGGCTTCTGAGCAGTTACAGATTGCATTTTAAAGCTCCTCCCTACAATCTTCAGGGCTAAATAATGACTTTTAGAAAAAAAAAGAAAACTAACTTTTAAGTAAGCATATATCTCAGAGATAGAGTATTACATTTAAACACCATGATCTTGAGATTTACAAAAAGGTATCATTTAACAAATTGATTTAGAGATTATAATTTACATCTAAGTACTGTAAAAAGTTTTTACAATCTACTCTACATGGTTTTGAGTATCGTGGGAAATTTTGGATTTACATACATAGTTTACTAAAGTTACTCTTACTGAGCTATTAAAAAAATTTTAGTGACTTTGTGTAACCTCCATAAACATTTTAATTTCTGGTGAAGTTTGCCAATCCCAGCATAAACTTCAAATCATAGCTATTTAACAACAGATGAGCTCTACAGAATTCTGCATGTAGTGTCAGACAGAAAGCCTTTCTCCCTCAGGATTTATTTCTACCTATCACTAAAAGATTAAAAATAATTTATTTCTATTATATTACAGTAAGAAAGAAATCTTTATTGGCCAGTTAAAGGCCACTATGTCTAAAAATAATAATTAGCCTTCACAGGGAGTCATTGATGCCTTTACCATTAGTTTTTCAGGCTAAAGGTGAAACAGACATAATTAGCATCATTTGCTAAACGATGAATATCAAGTGGGTACCTAACTCTTAATATTCAAGGAAATTGGAAATAGGTAAGATTATTTGTAGGAACTGCCGAGTTGCAAGAAGCTGAACAAGTTAGTGCAATGTAATATTTATTTTAGCAAAGAGCAGGCTATGTCCTGGAAGTCCTACTATAGCTTCTGGCCTGCTCAAACTGTTGCAACTTCATTCTTTGCCAATTGGACAAAAAAAAAGTAATATAAGTCTTCTCACTAGCACACAATATAAATAGATTTAGTATTTTAGAAATAACATCAAAGGAAAATCCTGATGACTGCTGCAGGCACTAAATAGTTGATTAAAGTTCCTGCCTTGTTCAATTTCTATCATTGTAATTAATGAATCAAAAGGGATTGTATGAAAATGTTTTAACATTCTTACCAGGCAAGTGTACTACCTCATCAGGAGAGTAGCACTTTTGAGCAAAACTCATCTATATGTATATTCAGTTTCTCAAGTCTCCTGGTTGTATTTTAAGTCAGAGACATTGTTTTAATAAAATTTCAGAAATGCTTTAAGAGGCAATTAGTCTGGCCTCCTTACTAAGGGATTTAACTTTTTATGTGGTCAGAGCTCTACTTTGGACCCCTATACTAGAATTCTTAGAGAGAAAGTTAAAATACAGAAATGCCTGCTAACCAGGTAGATGACTGCAGATGCACCTAAAAGTAGACAAGATCTTAACCAGCACTACCGCTTACGTGGAAGCTTTACTAACGAGATACTCTTTGTAAACCTGTAAGCCACACACTATTCACTGCTCTGGTTTCAGCACACATCACACTCAAACTAGCTTTACTGTAGGTAGGTTTGGGTACTGTTGGCAAGGTAGCTGTGGTGTCACAGAACGTAGCATGGAAAGTTTAGGTAGTAAACTAAGGTGAATAGCTCACGCTGAATGTGGTGCTGCTATGAACATATCACAAGCCATATCCAACCTATCCCTCCACCCTAACGAACTACCAGTGGAAAACTGCATCCATGACAAACTGAGAATTTTGATAATAAAATCTAGGCCTTGTATGATTCAATATTCAGTTTTATTGAAAACTGACACTTGAAGAAATCAACATATATTTCTGGTCATCAGTATTTATCACCAGTTATCATTTCTGTTCAATTTCAACCCCTCTCCTGCACCTCCAACCTCCACAACCTCAGCTGCCACCAACGCTAGGCTTCTGGCCTCCCTCACAGGCTGAAACTGGTCCAAGATTATAACTAATACCTCTGGGTGAGAGGAGGAGTGCTGCAGACCCAGATTTGTACTAAAGAAGAGACTGAAATTGATTTTAAAAAATTATAACCAGTTACTTTGGAGAGAAACCCTCGAGGGACCCAGAAGACTGAGGCAGCACAAAGCTAGTTATTTGTTAATTAAAAATCATATTCCATCAAGTCAAAGAAACACACTTGTAGGCTTGTATGAAAAGCATAGCTGAGCTCAGGAATCCACAGACAAAAGCTGAGCAAAGGATGAGTTTTGGGAACAGATACAGAAGGCTTAGATTTAAGAAAACTTAAAACTTTCTAGACCACTCCCACTATCAACAATTTAAGAATATAATACTCACTAGAGAATATTTTACAGAGAATAAATATTTTGAAGACATAGAAAAATAGTTCACAGCATCAAGGTACCTGTAATACATTACCTTGAAATAAAACTTGTATTTAAAAGATTAAAAAGAGAAGATTATTCTTGTAGTGGTATCAACTTTTCATTCATACAAATATTAAGCAGAGTATATCTGTTTTTTCATATATTCACATTATTGCTTGCTACCACAACTGTACAAGGAACATATTCTTAACTTACATTAATGTTCATGTACAGTAATCTTAGATACCTAAAGCAAATTTTAAAATGTGATTGAGTTGCAATTAAAAAAAAAAATACTATGTGTGAAGGTATGTACAACTAAGATATAAGTAGAAGAAACAAAATACAACTGGCCTGACCCAAGCATATATCATATATCCAGTTAAAAAAGGTCTTATACTTGTGCAGAAAATAAGCTTTGTAAACCAAAATGAGCAGAAGCAAGGGTGCAATAAATAATTATCTAACGCATTTAAACTTACACTGTTGCCCAGTGTACCCTGCTTTGATTATTTTTAATACATGGCATCTGCATTTGCATCTGGAACTGCACTGTTCAAGATTTCTTTTTTCTGCTTATGTGGCTTTAAAACAAAAAAAACCCCTGAAAGATCCTCTTGGACAACAACTTTTAGTAAAACAAGTCCTTCTGCACCCCTGTGTACAGGATCTGGTAAACAGTAGGAATAAAGCTGATACATGGCATTAGCCTGAATTAAAACAGCTACATTATAAACTGCAATACTAATATATTTTTGTAATCTTGAGTTCTACTAACCAGATGCATGCAATTCTCTCAGTGATTCTTCTAGTCTGACTAAAATAATTCTATTTTGCTGCCTTTTTTTTTTTTTAAACCTTTAAATTAGAACTTTTTCAGAACCAGCTGACAGGACTTCTTCATGAAAAGCACAGAGATTTCTACTAATGCAATGACATTTGGGTTCCAAAAAGCACAGTTTCAAAAAGAACTTTATCTCCTTCTTTTGTTGGAAGAGGCTAGCCAATATCCCAAAAAGAAATAAAAATATTTACAATTGACTAGTCACTGACAAAAGTTTAGGAAGATCTTAGAAGGTATTTCAGCATGTAAATGAATGAATAAAAGGACTTACACAATGTACAGTCAATCAGTTGTGTCATTTCAGGATAAAAAAATACCTGCTCACTTGTATACCATTTTCAGCTGTGTATTTATAGTAATATACATGTATGTACACACATGCGTGCACACATATAAACGACTCTGAAAATCAAGGTACATTAATAAACAGAAGTAGTAAAAGTAACAATAACTTAAGTAATAGTTAACATTTGCATGAAATGACTTTGCAGAATTTGACCAAATGCACTTAGAACATGTTTGTATTTAAAAAAAAACAACACAAACAACAAAAAAAAATGAAAAATAATGAAAACACCACAAGATTCTGTAGAACCAATGCTATGTCACCACCAGGAGAGCACCAAGCAAGGCACCATTGGAAAGACAACATACTTGAATAAGTCTCTATAAATAAATCAAATGCTAATCTGGTCGAAAAATCGGTGTCTTTGGTAAAAATTCTATAAGGATGACCTGTATAAAAAGAAAAAAAAAAAATTAAACGGAAGATGGCATTTTATTACCTACCACAATGATAATTCACATGCCTTTTTTTTTTTTTTTTTTTTAAGTACATCAAGTTGTGTATGTGTATCAAAGATCACAATGCTTTTCTTAGGTAGGAGACCATTAGAAAAGTCATGTTTGATGTAATTGTTTTGTGGTAGAAAACCAAAACTCTTAAAGAATCAAATTCAATTGGAAAAGTTTGCCTACCAATACCTAACACATCTAAACAAACTGAAATAAGCTATTACATAATTATTCTTTAACATAATTTATTTACTTTATTAGGAAAAAATTATGAAAGAGATAAACATATTCAGTTATAAAAAAAACCAGAAAGCACAATGTATGCAAAGTTAATTTTCAATTACACATGCAATTCCCTTTACTTCAAAATTGTTTCCACTTAATATAGGATTCTAAATCATGTTTATAGTTCAGAACTTGTATGGAAAGGTGTATCAATCTTTGCAAAGTTCCCATATCTAACAAATCTGCAAGTAGTTACAAGAAACTTGACTAATGCTTTTGCATGGTTATTCTTATGGTCCCAATTCAAATTTAAACTATGTGTTTCTGAGCTATGTACACATGGTAGGGTACACTCCAGAATACAATCCAAGTATTTATCCTACTTTAAATAGAAAGCTTAAAGAAAATGTTCACTTGTGTGTTTTCTTTCTTCCGAGAGACAGTCATAATACAGCAGCATGATTGTCTTTATAAATAAATCCATCTTTTTTTTTTTTACTTGTAAGGGTAGCTTGCCTTCCTAAGAAGTTAAAAAATAATTTCTAAATGTTTTTGATGGTAAAGGAGAACACAACTTGGCTGCTTAGAGAGTAAACACTTCTATCTCTGATAGTATATTGAACATCAGAAAAGAAATAAGTCACTGATTTTATTTCTAAAACAAACACTTTTGAAACAATGAATATAAAAATCAGGTGTGTAAGTTTATTTTTAGAGATATTCAGAAGTAACCTATTTTCAGAAGTGACGCAAACTGCTCAAAATCCATTGAGCACTGACATGAGTTAACCACTGGATGCTTCAGAGATACCAGGGCTTCTGATATTCAGGAAAGGTTTCAAAAAGGGAGGAAGAAGTAAAGCTGGAACACTATTGTTTATGCCAAATGTGTAAGACTATCTTGTCTTTATTTAATTTATTTAATTATTTATTTAATTTAGCATCTACAACAGTGGATTTAGAACCTCAACTTGGCGAAGTAGCAAGTTTTGGGTACAAGAGTCTAATTTAAATCACCTGTTTTGAAAAAATTGAGGATAAGTTTTTATTATTTAAAATTAAATCATGAACACAACATTAAGGGCAGTTTTTAAGAGACTAGCTAATCAGTTCACTGAAAATAAGAAAATGGTACTGGAAAGTTTTGTAAAAATTTTCTCATTAAATATAACCAGAGATAATATACTAGACATTTCACAAATTGAAAATAAAATCTTCAGTCTTTATCCTGTAAAACTATATGCCCATGCTTACATATTATCAATGTAAACAGGTCAACTGATTTTAAATTGTATTTTATAGAATGAATGTTCATCTGTAAATGTTGCTGGGCCATAGTATTTACAAACTAGCATTGTATGTGGTTTTTTCAATTGAATCCACAAAACATTGGATGTAACAATGTTTTTCTGCAGAAAAACAAAATTTTCAGTGAAATTTTCATTTAGGTAAAGATCAAATCTACTTTCTGAAATTTGCTTTATTCCATTTTCAGTCACATGTCATACATCTAAACTAAAAAATTCTGTAGAATAGATGTTACAAAAAGTCTATTTATTCAGTGAACTGAATAGAGCCATTCTGTAAAAAACGCATTTTGAAGAAAGATCTTATGTTTCAGGCTAGAAATAAGATCCAATGTAGAAACAGGAAAATGGGGAAGACTGAAAGAAAAAGATTCTTTTAATATAATTTCCAACTATTTAATCACTTAAAATTTTTATATGCATGATAGCTTTGTTGTTTCAAAGAATAGACAAAGTACCATGTAATGAAAGATCACACATAAGTTAGAACTAATACAGTAGATATTTCTCAAAAGCTAATCTTTATTTTTAAAAAGTTAACCCTTCCTATTACCTGCTTCCTAGAGCATTAAAAGAAATTGTGCAAATTCTAACATTTCTTACATTTTAGCTGCTTAATTTCATCCTATTCTGTGTACCTCCAAGATATTTTGAAAATGGAAATAAAAACAGCACCAAAAAAGGGCAAGAAGGTTGCAAGCTAAACAAACCGAAATCCCACATTGGATATCGCTCATTTTAAACGGCATATAACTTCTCACTGTGTATTTCCAAGAAGGGCTTACGGAGTCTCAGCCAAAAACTGAAGTTAAAACTCCAGACTGACTTAAAAATATTTTAGTGACACAAATTGGAGATAAAGATACTTTCAGGAGAGTTGAGGTAAGGGGCAGTTAAAATCTAAAAAGGCTAAAGGCTTCTTAAGCTCCAACAGCTTAGTTGAAAGGTCTTCTTCCATACTTTTAGACTTGATTAGCATTATATAAAACAGCCATATCTGACTTGCTGCGTAACCAAAGTTGTGGTTATTCTTTATACAGCATCTAAAATTTCACACTCCATCAGCACATGTTCAAGCTATTTTATCTTGGCAATTAATTTATTATTTTTCAGAACACAGTGAAGCCTTGTTTTCAAGTCATTCATAACTTTATAAATCAGTCCTGCACATGAAACCATGCATCTGTGAACCGTAGAAAATCCTTGCACTCAGGCGATTAAGCTCCTGACACCTTTACTGATTAATAATCATGAAAAGAATAAGATCAGAAGCAAAATAAATGATCATTTAATAGAGAAACTCACAAAACAGCCCTTTAACTTACATATTCCATCATGTTATTCGTTTCACATTTCCTTTTGCTTAGTCTCCAATGCAAGCACAGCTAGACAAGGAGGAAAGAAAAAGAAGAAAAATGAGTTGTATTTTATTGCAGCACACAGACTAGCCCATTTGTCCACCTTTCATATTTTTCGTTCAACAAAAGCATCTGTTTCCATACTGTGCAATTCAAACTCCAACAGTACGAAGCTGCTCCCTGCGGCACTCACCTTGTGGTATAACCTATTGTTTTCCCATTCTAATAACTTCTCAATCGATCTTCGTGTCTGGAAGACAAATGAGAAAGAATTTTACTCTTGACTGGTTTTAGAAAAACTTTGTTTTGCAGCTGCTTTTGTGTGAAAAGGAGAGAGGTACAGGACAGTGACTGAGTACAGGGTGGTCTGTAGTACTATCAAAACTTCTCTGGTATTAAATAGTAACTAGAACAGAAACAACTTTTTATGACCCAAATAACTATCTTCAACCATCCTGGAACAAAAACTGTTCATATATATGCCTTCTGGTTCTTATAGCAGTTATAACTTTAAAACCACAGAAATTTTGAAGTGATCTAAGTATAAAAGCAGGAGCACTGCTCCCCCACTATCAGTGGTCTAAATGCACTGCTTCTAAGAAGGTCGGCATCTAAACTGACAAATGTTGCGAACTATTTTGCAATGCTGTAGGTCAAGTACAAATACGCAACACTCTAAATAAAAGAGAAATTTTTGTTACTTTTATATCCAGATTTTAGAGACTGAAATCCAAATGCAGAAAGTTACAGTAAATTGCACAAATGAATATTACTAAATCTGTGATTTCTATAAAGAGCAAACCCAATATTTAGGATTCTAAAGCAAAGTTTTACTGCCTATGTTGTCCACATGACACTTCAGATAGAGAAACCTGAAAGCTGTTCTGCACAGCTTTTTAAGATTATGCATGCTAGTATTAAAGGACATTCTGTGCTGTAAAGTTTCACAGCTTATTCAGTTATATTTACATTTGAGAAATACATTCTGACATTTATGGTCATTTGACTGCCAGAATATATACTGCTTAGCTCTAAATGGGATTTGCTACTGACTATGAATAAAAAGAGGATAATTCATGGTGCCAGGTGTTAAGATGAGACCAACAGAGCTGCAGGTGCAAAAGGACGGAGCAATGACAAGGATCAAATACAACTTAGTGCAGCTGCAGCTTCCTTACAAGGCAGAGAGGGGTGAGGGGAAGGGATGAGAAAGCATCTTGCTGTTATTACTACAAAATACAAGTACTGTAAATGCATCTTAACAAATCAAACTGCCGTCATATGAAACAAGAATGTCCGAGTAAAATAAAAATTAGACAACAAATTACTCATTTCCCACCAAATATTAACATCTTGGTTTTCAAACATCAGTTTCTCTCTAGTTTAATGCTGAAGCCGTTGTGGGGAAACACATCTAAGCATGTCCTGTGGTCACATGATTAAAAATTAGATCATTGCTATCTATGAGTAATCATTACACTGAATTTCTATTATGTTTTATTTTAAAAAGCACAAGTCAAGGAATTATCAGAAGGTGGATGTGCCAGTGACTAATTTATCACATCAATTGGGAATTGAGTATTTTTCAGGTTATTGTTATTATTATGTTTTTAAAGACAGTGCCCTTTAACAATAATCAGCAGACCTCACTTGTTTCTTTGTAAAGATAGCCTTTTAGAGTCTGCTCTCCTTTTAAATGAAAATAGGGCAGCAGTTATGGTCACACTTTTGTTAATTTAGTTGCCAGTCAGCTCCAAATCAAAAGAAAATAAGGCTGCAGAGTGTAATTAACATTCAGTTCAGTCGTTTTGTCCCTTGTCTAGCCCCCAAGCTTTGTTAAAATTGCCATCTGAATGCTGAAGGCGGAAATCGATTTGATTCTAATCGCACCATGAAAAGAACATGATCTAACTGCTTTCAGCCCTCCGTAAATCTGTACTAGGTCTTTAGCACAATGCAACTTCCAATTTAAAAAGCACTGAATGTCTCGTCAATGACTTTGTGAAGAAAAAAGAACAAGGAGCAGACATAAAAATTCCAATAGTTGTTTAAGCATTAAAGTTCATTTGCATCACAGCAAACCTGAAAAGGGCTGACCTCTCAAACCGCCTCTCAGGTCTATGAAGTTGTAGCCTTGACAAGCTCACATTGACAGAGCTCATTGACTCTGAAAGGCTACTCTATCAATGGTGAAAAATGGCAATAGGTTCTACTCTGAGCAGGCATCTGCCTGCCCACCCGCTGCTAAACCAATGGCAAAACTGATTCAAAACCTGAATCTACCTTGTAATCTTCCTTTCCAGGACCTTTTAATAATAGATTAAGATCACTATACAATTTAATTTCATTGTTTGCCCCAAAGAGTGTGAAAAACGTCCAAGCTTTTCAAATTACATATATATTACAATACATACAAATTACATATATATTACAATACATACACATAAATAAGAAATTGATAGGTAGGTATGTACTATTAATTGGTTTATTTAAATAAGGAGCCAGTTTAAATTCATTTGACTAGCGTGAGATAAAAACACATGCAGCCTCGGGACCACAATTATTTATGTTCCCAGAGCCTTAAATACAGTCCTTCCTGTAGTATAATTTGGGATAATCATAGCTCCCAAATCACACCATATTATCAATACAGAAATGTTAATGAAAATTAGACTGTAAAATATTTCTGCAAACCTCAGAGCTTGGAACAAAAAGAAATTAATTAAACAGCATCACACAATTCACTATAGTAAGTTTTCTTCCTACTTGACAGGTGAAAAAAAGCACTTGCACGTGCAGCTTAATTAATCACTGCTCTTGACATCTCAATGATTTACAGTGAGGAGCAGGTGAGGATATACAAAACCAGAAAGGAACACTTGATTTGAGTGTAGCATTTCCAGCACACTAGGATGACAAGCTTATATATTCTATCAATGGTGTACAGAAAAACCCATACAGCAAATTATTTGTTAGCCACAACAAAAGCACAAATTAAGTGGAAGAGAGACTTGCTTATTAGGAAGATTTAATACTATCCAGCTTTTAAAATTTTTTTCTTAAAAAACCCCATCCAATATTTGAGCAAAGCTAAAACTGCAATTCAAGTACACTTTTTAGCATACCAATGATAAGAAAATATGCTTTGTAACATACTCCGTGAAAAAAACAGATAGTCTTTAATGTTATCCACAGAATTTTGTGAAATAGACTTCTTCAAGCAACTATCTAGATGCAATGTTTAAAGAATCAGTTATTTTACAGGAATGTTTCATTAAAGATATTCACGTTTGACAGTGTCTTTTGAAAAATCAGACTACCAAAAAAGCCCAATTCAGAATACACTTTCACCAATGCTTATTGCTCCCAATCAAGTAAAATAAAGTTTTGCCCTTAAACATGGAAGAAAAAAGAATAGGAGACTAAGTATGAACTTTTCATGCAGAAACAAGGCAGTATTGAATACAAATAGCGTGTTACCTGTATTACCAACTGCAAGACCTTTCTGTTACATCTTTGCAGTGTCTAGTGAAGTTAGCTTACAATTCCAGATGCAGTTATGATCTGGACTGGGAGGCTGTGCAGCCACAGGGCCCCCTCTTGCAGTGCATGACCTGGAACATGCACACCACACTAAACTGTACTAGTGGATGGGCCAAAGCCCCCTCAACTCCTGCAGTAAATCAGTGAATGACTGGTACAATATTAAACAAAAGGACCTTACATGACTCCCAAAACGGTGCTAATTTGAGTACCTCCCTTTGTCTTTATGTAAGGGGGAAACAACATGGACAGTTAACAGCACAATCCTCCGCTATCAATTTTACTCATAGCTGTCTGGGAACAGCAGAAGAATCCCCCGCTACATGCATTTGATCTTTGACTTCTCATCTGAAAATTCCAAAACATAGGTAAATGTAGTGCAACATTAGTCCAACAAATAGTATGTGGAGATTTTCAAATTCCTTCATATAAAACTTTACCACAATCAAGTATTAATAATTCTGAACATTGCCCTGAAAAAATACACTTTCTGTACAAATTTCAAAATACCAAGAGACCAATTTAAGCAGATTTTTGTTGATTCTCATATGGCCAGAATTTGTATTATACCCCACTGAAGAAAGGCAAAGGATCCTATCAGAGGTCTGAACTATACCATCTCTGCTCACTCAAAGAGAGAAATGATGGAAGCAGGAATTTCTGTTCATTCTCCAAAGATATACCTGACTACAAAATTTATACCCAAGTAATTTAGTTATCAGCACAAACAATGAAATATAAAGTTAGAAGATAACTGAATCACACAACTGTGTGCTCACTTTCAACATTCTGGAACATCCCCCAAGTCAATTTTGAGGCCCATATCGGTGCCACGAAAATGCCAAAGCTGTACTTGGAACACGCATAACTGAATTACATGTATCTTCATCTATGCTGAGAAAGTCCCCACCTTGAACACTGTATCACAAACAAACCCTTTAGAAACTGTAAATTGATAAGATTCCCATCTTACTGAGGAATTCTCTATTTGTGAATGGGCAAAGATGACGAAGGTGAAACCTGAATTGATTTCAGATCCCGACATGCTGGAATACCTGCTTCAGCATGTACAGTAATTTGAAAAGGTGTCTGTTCAACCACATAGGTGTATGTTGCATCACCTTTCCTACTAGTAGCTAGGATATTTCTTACTAGAGACTATTGTAAGGGTGCTCATCCCAGAAGCCACTGCAGCATCCATGCAAGAAAGTGAGTGAAACCCGTATTACACGGATTGAAGAATATCTGGAAATAAATGTAGCACTCTGGTGCTTTTTGTACGATCTTGAAGTAACTGCCTTGTCCAACAGGATTACTATTGCTGCATCTTGTCTTACCTTACATATGATGCTGGGCAGAAAGTGAGCCCATTCCAAAGCACAGATCAAAACTCCTGATCAGGCAAAGAAATATAATCAGCAGAATTCTGGAGCAGAAGAACTGACAACATCAAGTTGACCTCAGGAAACTTCCCGTTCTAAAAGACAGCCCTGAGGATATTGTCCCATATCCTCACATGATCCATAAACTGACCTAATTTTATAGGTCTCAACCCTGGCTTGGTACATCACAGAGAGATTAATTTAAAGCTCAATGAATCAAACCAGATCAACTACTTTCTGGAAAGGTCTCTTCCACCACATTGTCTGCTGATATAAAGAGGAGAGCAGAGTTACTTGACATTACTGCATGTAACAGTTTTTAATA